TTTCTTCTATATAACGTTATCCATATGACACATGTCATTATGTTGCAAACTCTCATTGTTAATAAAAAAAAAAAGGAAATTATCCTTCCTTCTAAATTTACATTTGACCAAGATATAACAATAAAAACAATATCCTCTCGGACGATCATGTCACACGGAGTCTCTTTATTGTCAAGACTCTTTTGATCGAGCCAATCACATAAGATCTTTCTAATTAATCTACTCTCCTATATAATTTTTACAGATTATTATAAACAAATATCTTTATTCAATTTTTCTCGTCACAAAAAAAAAAAAAAAAAAAAAAACTCAAATTTTGTAAATTATATACCAAAAAGAATCAGATTAAAACCTGTCACTTTCAAAGGCACATTAGGCAACAATAATTGATGAAGTCTACCTCGTTTAAGTCATCTTTAAAGCAAATTAAATAATATAGTAAAACAAAATAAATAGAAAATGCAGCACAAAAGTGTACAATTCTATCCAAAAAAACATTGAAGCGATGAAACGTCGCCGCATGAAAGGTTAGTTAATCGCGTCATCCACTGGCCCCCCGGAGGGCCTATAAATTCGCGCCATTGCAACTGATCCAAGCACCTCCCAGAGCGAAGCAGAACAGAACACGACCACCTGTGAACTCTGTCTACGTGCTTTCATCTCCCAAATTTGTGCATTTCTCTCTGTTCCCTCCCTTAACTCTCTCTCTTCCATCTCTTCCTTCCCCTTTCTTCCCAATATATACACACACAGTTTAATTTTCCTCATTCTTTCCATCAAAAACGAGACACCATGTGCGGAATCTTGGCCGTGTTGGGTTGCTCCGACGACTCTCAGCGCAAGAGGGTTCGCGTCCTCGAACTCTCTCGCAGGCAATTTCATCTCTCCCTCTCTCTTTTTCTTGGTTTTCAAGATTTTCTTGATTATATTTGCGGGGAATTTAATGGGGGGTTTGATCGTGTGGGCAGGTTGAAGCACAGGGGACCGGATTGGAGTGGGTTGTTTCAGCACGGGGATTTTTACTTGGCGCACCAGCGGCTGGCGATCATTGATCCCGCCTCCGGCGATCAGCCTCTGTTTAACGAAGATAAGAAGATTGTTGTGACGGTGAGGGAACTTTCGGGTTCATCGTAAATTCGTAATTCTTTCGTTGGATGAATGTTTTTTTTTTTTTGTTTTTGGTTTTGGTTTTGGTTTTGTTTATATATGAATAATTAACGACGTGTTTCGAGATATAGGTTAATGGAGAAATCTATAACCATGAGGAGCTGAGGAAGAGTTTGCCGAACCACAAGTTTTATACCGGTAGCGACTGTGATGTCATTGCGCATCTTGTGAGTTGCTAAACTAAATCATCTAATTTGATAGAAATTAAAGAACCCTAAATCATTAAGTTTGGACAATTCCAGCCGAGTTGGTAATCACAAGATTATAACTTTACTCCCGGAACGAGCTATTGGCTTTCTTGGTTTGAGTTGATTGCATTTACCCAGTGGTCAAAATTCAAAAATTCATCTAATTTGATAGAAAGAACCCTAAAAAGAGCAAAAAGATTGGATTTTGATTTGAACCCTTGGCTTTGTTCAGTATGAAGAACATGGAGAGAACTTCGTGGACATGCTGGATGGGATGTTTTCTTTCGTTTTACTGGACACCCGTGACAACAGTTTCCTAGTTGCTCGTGATGCTATTGGAATTACTTCCCTTTATATTGGCTGGGGGCTTGATGGTATATATACCTTCTTCAGTTCTTCATAAATTTGCTGGGAATAAAGCTAAAATGTTTGCCTGGATGAGTTTTGATCAATTTTTGTGTTTGCTTTTAACTCAGGTTCTGTTTGGGTGTCCTCTGAACTGAAGGGCTTACACGACGATTGTGAGCAGTTTGTGGCGTTTCCGCCAGGACACCTGTACTCTAGCAAGACCGGTGGCCTCAGGAGGTGGTACAATCCTCCATGGTTCTCGGAGGCTATCCCTTCAGCTCCTTATGAGCCCTTGGTTCTAAGGCGTGCCCTCGAAAACGTGAGACTAATTTTCGTTTGGGTTGGAGAGAAAGAATGGTTAAAAATGTGTATACTGAATAATTATTTATGTTGTGGAAATTGATGCAGGCTGTGATCAAGAGGTTGATGACTGATGTGCCTTTCGGGGTTCTTCTTTCGGGAGGGCTCGATTCGTCCCTCGTTGCATCTATCACGGCTCGCTACTTGGCTGGCACCAAGGCCGCTAAGCAATGGGGAGCTCAGCTTCATTCCTTCTGTGTTGGCCTCGAGGTCTGTCTCGAGGAACCAAAATAATTAAGTTGATATGTAGTTCTTGAATCTTGATAATTGTTTCTTGTTTTTGCGCCTTACAGGGATCTCCAGATCTGAAAGCTGGGAGAGAAGTTGCTGATTATCTGGGAACTGTTCATCATGAGTTCCACTTCACAGTTCAGGTATCGAAAGCAAAACAACATAGTTGAATTCGAGAGTCGAGATATATAGAGTCTAAGGTTTTGTATAACATGTTGCAGGATGGGATTGATGCAATTGAGGATGTTATTTACCACGTCGAGACTTATGATGTGACAACAATCCGGGCAAGCACGCCCATGTTCCTAATGTCACGCAAGATCAAGTCGCTTGGAGTGAAGATGGTGATCTCGGGTGAAGGATCTGACGAAGTTTTTGGTGGATACTTGTACTTCCACAAGGCACCCAACAAAGATGAATTCCATCGTGAGACATGTCGAAAGGTAGCCAATTAAGGTTAAAGGCCCCGGTTTTTTGTTGAAATTAGAAGCCGGTTTCTAACGTGGTCTGTGTTGAGCATATAACCATTAATGTGCAATCCAACTATCAGCTTAGACTTTTAGTTTAGATGGAGCACATGCTAACAAAATTAGAAGCCGGTTTCTAACGTGGTCTGTGTTGAGCATATAACCATTAATGTGCAATCCAACTATCAGCTTAGACTTTTAGTTTAGATGGAGCACATGCTTCAATTGTCTGATCTTGTGCTGTTTATGCAGATAAAAGCCCTGCACCAGTATGATTGCCTGAGAGCGAATAAGTCAACATCTGCTTGGGGGTTAGAAGCCCGAGTCCCTTTTCTGGACAAGGAGTTCATCAATGTTGCCATGAACATTGACCCCGAATGGAAGATGGTAAGAACTAACTAAGAACTGCATCCAAATCCATTATGGGACCGATTATCTGAAATCTTTTGCATTTGATTTCAGATCAAACCCGAGGAGGGGCGGATGGAGAAGTGGATTCTTAGAAGGGCTTTTGATGATGAAGAGCATCCCTACCTCCCAAAGGTCTTGAGAAAAATATGTCCCGATTTTGTCCATTAATGATTCGAGATGGTTAGTTCCACTTCCACTGACATTTTTTTTGGATTTCTTGCAGCATATTCTGTACAGGCAGAAGGAACAATTCAGCGATGGCGTGGGGTATAGCTGGATCGATGGGCTGAAAGCTCACGCGGAGGAGCATGTGACCGACAAAATGATGCTCAATGCTGCACATATCTTCCCTCACAACACCCCGACTTCCAAGGAAGGTTACTATTACAGAATGATCTTCGAGAGGTTCTTCCCACAGGTAAAACCGAACTTCACTTCACACGATTATCAGTTATCTCGATTGCAAAAATTCGATTTTGAGTCTTACCCATTGTATGTTGCACAGAACCCGGCTAGTCTTACTGTTCCAGGAGGGGCCAGTGTGGCATGCTCCACAGCCAAGGCAGTGGAGTGGGATGCTTCTTGGTCCAAGAATCTCGACCCGTCTGGCAGGGCTGCCATCGGGGTACATAATTCTGCATACGAGAACCAACGGGCTGGTAATGGGAATTTGGCGACGACCAAGATTATTGACAATGTGCCGAGGATGATGGAAGTGACAGCGGCTACGGAGCTCACGATATGGAGCTAACATTGTTGGGAAGATTGTGTGAGATGCTTTGGGGTCTCTTCTCCTTGTCTGTGGTTATATGTTGTAGAGGGTTTGCAGCCTGTCTTTTAGATGTGGCTTATTAGGTTGTGTAAAATTATATTGTACCTTAAATAAGAGCAAGAGATCTTACTATGATCTGTCTGTCTTGTTCCTCCAAACAGTTCAATTGGATCCTACTTTGTACTGGTTTTAAGGCTTTTGTCACCATTGATAATGCATATATAGTTTTATCTTTCTGTCAACTCTGTGGCTCTCTTGCTGCCTTCTAGCCCATAATTTTCAACTTTTGCTTGTCCAGCAGCACAACACATATCAGAATGCAATATGGGCCAATGTTATTACAAGATCAAATCCCCACACCCCAAATTAGGGTGCACCAGGGCGTGTATTGCATTGTGCGCCCTGATGCAAAACGATGTCGTTTCACATAATTGTATAAAAAAATACACATAATCGTATAAATAAATACACATAATTGTATAAATAAACACACATAACTGTATAAAAAATGCACATACTTGTATAAACAAATACACATAATCACTCCCAAAACGACGTCATTTTGGGAGGCGCGAGGCGCACAGTGCTATGTGCGCCGTGGTGCAGGGTATAACGATTGTCAAATTAGAGGTAATACTGCTAAAGCGGGTCAGCTCGCTCCCATTCCGGGCTTAACTTTTGGTGGGATTTTATAGGCCAGCCCGTGAAGCCCATAGGATAGGGTTCAAGTAATGCCCCAGATACGTTGGCGGGTCTTACGGGCTGGCCTGTTGGGTAAATGTGCAACAGTTACACCATGGGCCAGAGTCCATCTTGTAAAGTAGATTTGTGTCCAAAATATACAATTTACATACTGAATGTTCAAAATTCAAATTGTGAACATTCTAAATTATGTATGTAAAATTGTAAACATTCAGTATGTAAATTGTGTATTTTTGGATCCGGATCCACAGAATAATTTGACGCAATGTGCTTAACATTTTTTTAATAGGGAAAAATTATAATTAACATGTAAAATCATGATTCATGAATAAACACAATTTTTTTTTTTTTTTATAAAACATTAATCATTTTGTTGAATATAATACTCTAAACACTTTGACAAGAATAACAAAGAACTTTAATTTATCCTATAAAGACTTGTGTAAGATGATGATGAGTGGAACAAATCAGACTCTCAGAAGAAAAGTCCAGTATAGAACAACTGATTCCAAGTATCAGGCAAGCCAGGAAGGCACCAATGGCTACAATCAGCAGAGTGGTCAGGGTTAGCCCTTTGCTCTGGGGTGAGATCCCCACTATATATTGAAGGGTGTGCATCTTTCCTCATAGCCGATAATAGTGTTATGTCCAGCAAGAATGGCCGAGGGTAGCTCATGTTCCCTATCACCGCTTCTATCACCTTCATTTGGTCCGGGTATACCCCCGGGTATGCCCCGCCTGTCACCGCTGTCGGCGCCGTCTCCCCGTAACAGCTCTTTGATGCCGTCACTGTGCCCGCGCTCCACTCACGGGGGCTGACAAAAACCGTGTCACAATATTTAGTCAATACACATTATCGGGTGTCACAATATTTAGTCAGTACACATTATCGGGTAATAGTTATCGATTTTTCTGACCAGACATTAGTCAAATGTAGTTGGTGGATGTGAAGGGAATATTGTGCTTGGAGGTATTTTGGATTGGGGAAAATATGGATTAGGTGTGTGTAACATGTGAGTTTGCCACCGACGAGATGGGTGACGCAAAACGGCAAAAGTAATACTCCATATAAGTATATAGTATTTACCACAAGAAGAGATGTATGTGACCAAAAAGTCCAAAACTGAAATGGACCTACTTGCCCTACTGGCTTCTGCCTTTGTATTATATTCATGTCGTTTTACTATGCCGCCTTGCATTATTGAAACCCACCACACAAAGAGCACACTTTATGAGATTATGATAACAGTTTATTCGGTGCACACTCTCAGATAATAACGACATATTTTTCTTGTCATTCAAATATATATATATATATATATATATATATATATATATATAAATTTTTGTTAGGTCTAATTCTATTTTTGTTTTTGACTATTATTTTTCTGGTTCTTGATTATTAATTTTTTCAAGTATTGTATATTGAGCCAGTGAAGTAAGCAGGTACGTAATATAATTGTATAGTGATAAAGGTTGGGTACAATAATTCAGTTTGAGCCTCAATCCTATAATCCAACTTGGATGACGGCTAATTAGTGATGACAGCTATACTGGGGCAACCTATGTTTGCAAAACAAACATTAGACATAGTAAAGTAGCTGCTGGTTTCTGGTTTCTGTTTTATTATTATTTTTATAACCAAATTTTCAGTCTTTGTCTCACAAATTATATATGGACTATGATTTACATTATAATGTACACCACAAGTATTTATTTTTAATATATTAAATGTTAATTTTTAAAATTTTAAATAATACACCAAATAATAAATTTTTAGTACACAAAAAATAATTTTTAAAAAATAAATATTTAATATATTAAAAATAAATTTTCGATATGCTAAAATGAACCTTGTATATGTTAGTGATTCTCATTGTAAGGTGAATTATGATCCATGATATAATGATTGCAACCCCAAACCAAATCAAATTAGTGGATCTCACCTCCATGTGATGGGGTCGAACCCACACTCAATTTTAACTTTAAACCTGAGGACCCCTTACCTACTAAGGCTCCTATACTATGAAGATTGTGAGAGAACGTAAATTGCGGGATGTGCTTTAGTGAAGCAGGGCTATCCTCATTCAAACTCGGGTATTTGATTGGTCACTACACTCACACTTAGGCCCTGTTTGCTAAATGGTTGTTAGCTTATTGGGTTAATTAGAGGGTATAACTAGTTGATAACATTAGCTGATTGTAAAAAAGTGTTTGATAAATTAACTGTTAGCTGATTGTTGTTTGATATAATTTCTTTTCTCAAAAAGCTAATTGAAAAAGTTGCTTGGAGTAGCTTTTTGAATTTTAACATTTTGAAATACAAAAAACTAATTAACCAAACACTTATATTGATTATTAAACCAAATCAAACAACTAATAGTGATTAAATAAGTCAAAATTAATCTATAAACTAACTATTTTACCAGGGAAGATCTTTGGAGAGTTGGACCACACCCTCTCGTTAGAAGAGTTATAGGTGCAACTGCTTAACTACTAGATCATAGGTGCAGCTACTTAACTACTGGATCAGGGAATTTTTTCTGGATATTATTAAGAGCTACTTTTCCTGGCAAATCAATGTAGCATGAAAAGGAAAAGAAAAATAAGAAAAAAGATTTTATTTACCCCGAATTATTATTATTATTATTATTATTATTATTATTATTATTATTATTATTATTATTATTATTATTATTATTATTATACAATGAGCATTTTAATTTTTATATCACTTATTCTCTCCTCATTCTCAATAATTTTATTCTACACTTTCAAACAATATAATTTGAATTCTTACCCTATTCTACCTTATTCTTTTTCTACCTTCCCTCCTCCCAACCAAACACCATTTTAAGCTTGGAATTAAAATAAGGGAACACCAGAAGAGCTTAATCATGGGATTAAGACAAGGGGGAGAAAGGAATAAAACATACTTGTAATGAGTGGGGGAGACTCCTTGGAAAAACAGCCTGGTTCTGCTTCTATCAACATTAGATTCAACCCAGCTGGCCCATGTTCTCAAACCCTTTTCAAGAGCACCCAACCTATCCATATCTTGGTACAACTTCCCTTCTGATTCCATGTAGTCCCACCTGCATATGTATCAACAATAATTATTATGAAAGTTAGGCACAAGCACAATCCCGCCAAATTAATCAGACTATTAAGACTGTTAACTTAATAACCATAACGTTACAAATTCAATTCCCAATAGGAGCCGGAGCAACCAGACTGTTAAAAGATTGTTAACTTAATAAGCACAACGTCACAAATTCGATTCCCAATAGGAGCAGGTTAATAACCACAACATTACAAATTCGATTCCCAATAGGAGCAGAGCATTCTCTTGACTTTTTAGTTTGAGTCGAACAGCTATGGATAACTTGGTTAGTTTATCTCAAACAGAACACTCAGATAGTGACTGCGGATTTTCTAGTGAACCAAATTCATTATGAAAGTTATGTTTACTTGCCCAAGCTATCATCATCAACTTCTGGCTTTATGCAAGTGGGAATATTTGAGGAGGGCTAAACATAAAAAAGAGAAGATTCACTGCAAAGATAAAAGATAGTGTACCCACCCCTGCAGATTGCCTTTGTGGACCCACCAGTGCCCTGTATTGAAAGAAAGAACATCTGCATTCTTCCAAGCAATCCCATTCCTACTAATGTCGTCTAGTTTCAGTATTCTTTTCCCCTGCACTGAGTCTATGTCTACCAGGTAAGGCGCTCTGTAAAACGACACTGTCACTTGATAATCCTGCGTTTGAGAATGTTCGATTTTACTAGGAAATGTTTTATGGCGAGCTAGAATACTGGGTGAAATTAAATTAAAGGGTTTTACCAAGAATTTGAAAGCTGAGAGAGGGTCACCCCTGATCATCTTAGTCTGTGATCTTGGGACGAAAGCTGAGACCATGCAAATCAACGACTCCCATTGGTTGAGCCCCAGAGAGTCGCCCACAAACATCACGGTCTTCCCTCGCATTCTCTCCAGAAAATCCAGCCCGTTGAACCTAGATCAGAAAACCAAGAACCGGAAAAACAGCGTAAAGATCAAAACTTTACCACGACATTTTAGGCAACATGGGTTTCTGCTACCTGGGAACGTCGCAATTCGCCGGTTTCCACCGGTATTTGAGGTAGTCAGTGTCGGGTCGGCCGTACATTTGGCAGTTGAACTCTGGGTCAATAATGGCAGGGCAATCGGAGGATTGGTAGATAGGATATGTCTCGTCAAGAACCCAACTGCCCACGAACAGAGAACAAGAGCTCAGGTTTGCCTGCAACAATGGCGTTCTATGGTGAAGGTTTGGGCGGCTATGTGACCCCGATGCAGAGACACAGCAGTAGTGTAGAAGAAGGAGGCAGAGAATGGTGAAGGGGGAAGAAAGAGGAGCCATTGAAGAAGAAGAAGGTGAAGAAAGGGGAGTAGTGAAGAAGAAGAAAGCAGGAAAAGGGGGTAGTGTTATTATAGAAAAGAGCGTAAAGGGAAGGGTGGGGGGGTTTGTTTTTTGTTGGGTTGTGGCGTATGCGTGCATGTGAAGATGGCTATATGTGAATAGGAGGATTCACGTGTTATTTGAACTGGCCGTGCCACCAGCGGTGCTGCTCACTCGTGACTTGGCTTCATTCAATCATGCATCTATCTGCCACTACTCTAACACTCTCTCCCTCAAATTCATCCCACATCATCTTTTAATGTGATTTGTATATACTATTAGAGTATAATATATATCCGGTACACACCTTTCGGTTAGTCATCACGGATTTCTTTCGCCATCCAAATAAGTTATACAGTACACACCTTTTGTTAGTGACGATTTCCGTCATCCAAATAAGTTACCGTATGGTTGTCAGCCCTCGTGTTGATGTTGCCTAAATTTTTCAACACCCTATACCTATCCATATGTTCCGTATGTACCTGCTAGGTATTCGGTAAGCTCACCGAGAAGGGTCTATCTCGACCTTGACTAACCGACCACTAGTCCGGTATCCCCAACCTAAGAGCGTTGGCCGATCTAAAGCAAAAACACTGTTGCTATAGCGATGCGTTACTTGGGGACCAAAACCTCGACCTTTTTAGCTCGGGGTCGTCGTCCCAAGCAGGATTACTTGGAGGACCTGACTTGATGGTCAGAAATATTAGTACACGTGGCTTTCAGGGCGCCATTATTGAGCTAATCGACTGCATGTGTGACACATGTCAGTCATGCCGAGAGTCCAGCATGTATTCCCTTCTAGCCCCTATAAATACTGCCTTTGTTATCTGTAAAAGGGAACTCTTTCCTACTCTCTTTCTAAAGCACTTACATACTCGGTAACCTCCTACCTTCGATTTATTTTGCCCGAGTTACTATACCTCAAATATTTTATAATTCTATCATTTGTATGATGTCAAAAATGAGAATTAAGTATTGTTTTTAAAGGTAACTCTCACAACTTGTAATTAAAAACTAATTAGACAAACTATAGCCAATGGTGCATGATTTTGTAGTCCACAAATTTCGATGAAAACAACACTATTCATTTCATGATCCAATTAAATCTTCAAAAATGGGTCCTCATAATTAATTCGGATGGCATGACTTATCGTTGAGGGCATAAGTCAAAATATTCTCACCAACTAACACATGAAAATTAAAATTCGTAATTTTTAATAAACTATTAAAATTCAATCAGATGATCAACTTGCAGTTTTGGAGCTGTGTTTATCCATTATCAGTGTGCTGTCTAACACAGCAATAAGTTTCTTCTCATCATTTTTTTCTCCAATTTTACCGAATTATATTCTGAATCCCCCGAACCCGTCTAGGTCCACGAGAGATAATGCACCCCATTTTACCAAATTACTGATGAACTTCTAATGTAGCAATGAAAACAAAAACAGCAGCCAGCCAGTACCAGTCCCAAGTAATCTAGTAATCATATATGGTTTTGAGAGTCATAGGAAACAATGAAACATAAAACATAAAAACTCTAAATATCACCTTTCACCTCATCAAAATCACTAAAGAACCCCCCCTTTTCTAGATAAAAAAGCCCAGAAAGTTCAACTTCTTCTACAGGCAGGAATGCTTCAGAATCTGTTGGCTCGTCGTTTTCTTCTGCACGAAGACGCTGAAATAATGTTAGTGCAGAAAACTAACTAATCCGTTCTGCAACGGGGGAGATGATGATGATTTAGATGCTTATAAATACTTTGTGATTGCAGCAGCTTCTGGCACATGATGGTGCCATTGAAGTTAAGGAATGTGTTGTCGAGGAAGCCCTGTCTCTCGGCTTTGTTCATCACCGAGAACCCAAACGAGCCAGTCCACGTGTTCATCGCATCGGGAAGTGCAGGAAGAACTAGCCTCTGCACTCCCAGTTCTGCAAGTTTCTGAAGAACAAGAAGATCATGAGAATCGAATCTCGGGAAAAAATGGCAATGAAAATGACAGGAGTGGACAAGAATGTGCTTAATACCTTCTCTAGCTGATTCATCAGAGCTCGACACATTCCCAGTTTCCTGTGTTTAAACAGTGTGGCAATAAGTGGAATCTCAGCCACCTTTTCTCCATGAACCCTGGAGAAAGAAATGCCAGCATTTTAGCATTCATTAAGGATGTCTGCAAAGTAAAAGAGATCATGGGATATTGGGATACCTTAATGTAGCCACTGTTACAACTTCACCACTCCTCTCCAAGATTGCAGTGTAGAATCCTTGAAAATTCAAACGGTTCAGCTCAGACCTGGGAATATCACAAGTTTATATCACCATTAGAATGGAAGAAAGAAGTTACACAAGAAAGAAGATATAAGCTAAGCACACTAACCATTGACTAAAAATTATATCTTCCACAAGATCCCTGTTGCTTCCAGTTTCCTCAAGAGATGCAAAGCACTGATGCATCACACCAAGCGCAGCTCTAAGCCTGCCATGATTCTCTGTGGAATGATTGGAATCATTTTGCTTTGTGGCCTTCAACAATGTCCAAGAAAGGTCATTATATCCTAGTGGAACTCGTTTTCCCAGAACCCGACGAAGACCCAAAAATATCTGCAATCATAGGTACACAATGTGAAATTATGAAATGTTAGGCCGAGGCCGATGATGGACCGCCAAGTCCAGCACTAGGTGGCTATGGAGATTGTGGGGCCCAGTGGCGGGAAAAAGACTGAAGGGCCAAGTCCAGCAATAGGTGGCTATGGAGATTGTGGGGCCCAGTGGCAGAAAAAGACTGGAGGGCCAAGTCCAGCACTAGGTGGCTATGGAGATTGTGGGGCCCACTGGCGGGAAAAAGACTGAAGGGTCAAGTCCAACACCCTGCCTCTCGAAAATATGGCAGATGCTGAAAGACCACGTGGTGGTAGTGGTCTTTTATGATTAACCAACTATATATATACAAGAAATGGAGATTTGAAGTACCTGCTCACATCTGTAGTTGCAGAACCATTCCCTTTCAGGAAAGTAGTCCAGTTTAAGGAGACATTTTCTTTTGAGACATCCAACATGATCTGCAACAAGTTAGATCAGACAATTATTGTGTTGAAATATCCTATAAAACATTGGTATCCTAAAATGGAATGGAATTGCTCACACAGATGCTCGCATTGGTGACAGCGAAGAACAGTCTTATCTGTGATTTGGTTTTTGTTTCTATCGAATTGGTTGGCGTCACAGATTCCACAACGGCATGAAGGGCAAAACCAATCCCCAGGTGGGGGCTCCTGAAAATGCAACGAATCATCGAATCGAGTCTTTATAGGTAAGAGAGAAATGAGATAAGCACAATTGAATACCTTTAGACCAAGGCAATTAGCATGAAATGAAGAGGGGCACCCATCACACAGAAGCAATTCACCATAATCCAGACAAACAGAACATATGTCATCATGTTTGATTGACAACCTAGGACTCCTCTCCTTGTTGCAGCCCTTTGTTTTGGGGACTTTCACATCACTTTTGCTTTTCATTTCCATCTGGCAGTCGAACAACGACCTGCCATCTTCCAAGAATATAAATGCAGAAGGCCTGTGATATGTGCTCTTTGCATGAGCTTCAAAGCTACTAAGCCCATAAACTTGATGGCAGCAATTGCATAGTATCCCGTCTCGAGTGATTACCCCATCTTTCAACACACACCCATCCTTCTTTCGGTACTCCACCTTCGCCCCAGGCAGAACCACATTACTGTCTATCAAAGATGACAGAATAGTTCGTTTCGACGAGGAAGACTGTGCCTCCTGTCTGCCTAATCTTTTCTGATCAGAACCTTTAACCAGCATTCTTGTCTCATCAGAATCTTTAACCAGCATTCTTGTCTCATCAGAATCTTTAACCAGCATTCTTGACTGATCAGAATCTCTAACCAGCATTCTTGGCTGATCAGAATCTCTATCCAGCAATCTTGAATGATCAGAATGTTTAACCAGCATTCTTGATTGATCAGAATCTTCAACATCCTGGGCAGTAATTGAACTAGTCCAGGATTCAAGAAAGCCAGGCTTTTCCATCTGATTAACAGTACCAAGAGCCTCAACATTATCAGTATCAGAATCTCTAGATTCACTGTCTTCTTTGGGAAGATGAACTCCATTGGATTCTGCAAACCATTTGCAGGCTGTGAGAAGGGAGTAAAACACTTTCCCACAGGGAGCTTGGTAGCGGAGTTCTCTCTTGTTTTTCTTGTGGGCATAGAAGAATTGCCAACCGCAGTGGAGTAAATGCTCCTTGGATTTAACTTTGGATTCGGTCTTTTCTTTGGAATCATAAGAGATGTTCCGGTGGCAGAAAGATATATAGTCAAAAACGGCTTGAGAATATTCCTCAGAACCCGCTTGAGGAGGAGGAGGAGGCACATACACTGCCAGCTCCCTGGATTCTTGTGGGTTCGCCATTAATGGCGGATCAATAGCAGGGAGAGAATCTTTAATCTCGGAGCAAACTTGGGTGAGAGACATGTAGTTTTTCCCATCCGGGGAAACGTAGCACATTCTTGATCCAGTTTGAGTCTCCACAAACCGAACTTTCCAGCCAATATACAAAAGATGCTTCTTTACCCTCAAATTCAACTCCCCAGATTTCCTCCGCTTTGACAATGGCGTCTCGAGGTACTCAACAATGGCTTCTGGGCAAAACTCTGCTTCGGATTTCACCGAATGCCACTCCAATTTCCTCCTCCTCCTCCTCCTTCTCTTCTTCACGGGAGAAGGTATTTCTTCTTCTTCTTCTTCTTCTTCTTCTTCTTCGTCATCATCATCATTATCAGAAGAACTCCCGGGTTGTTCTTGGTCAGAAAGAGATAATCTTGGCAGGAAAGAACTTCTGGGTTGTTCTTGATCAGAAAAAGATAATCTTGGCATGGAAGAACTCCTGGGTTGATCTTGGTCAGAAAAAGATAATCTTGGCAGAGGAGAAGGATGCATGATTGATGAACTGTTCACGTTATGATTACTAAACCCAAAATTCATATCATTCGAAAATTTCCCAAATCCCACTCCATTTATACTACTAAATCCACTAAAACCAAACCCGTTTCCATTCATGTTCGATTTCAACTGCAGATCAAGAAACAGAAAAGCATACAAACATAAAAACCAAGAAACTTGCGGAACAAGAAACAATTTAAACACACAGTTTATAATGAAAACTAAATTGTAAACTAGAATGAAAGAGAACTAAACCGTTAACACTCTGCTGTAAACAATTTAGGGTTTGCTTTTTTATTCGTTCTTTTAAGATGCTAAAGAAAATGTTTCAATGGCGTAGAGGTCTACTGTTGCTGAAATTTTTGCAGTGTCCTACTTCTTCCATCTTGTTTCCAAAAGCCATATATAAGAGCTAGAGTTCTGACTTGAACACAATTTGTATATTTTATGATTCTTCCCTCAAAGTACAAAGCAAAATCAAATTAAATAAAAGAATTGTACACTATGTTCTTGATTTTAGTTTTTTTCTAAATTTTGATTTTTTTAGTGACCAGAAGACTCTGCATCTATGATCTAAAGATGGATGTACTCCCGGTAAATTTTGTACTCCCGATAAATTTTGTTTAAACTCTCGGTAAATTTCGCTTATATGTGTAATAATTTCAAATCACAGTGGGAAAAGATAAATCACTCTAGAAAAATTTCTCGTGACAATATTGAGTATTGACAATGTACTCCCGATAAATTCTGTTTAAGTTTTTCGTAAATTCCGCTTATACGTGTAATAATCCCAAATCACATTGGGGAAATAATCCCAAATCACATTGGGGAAAGGTAAATCACTTTGAAAAAACATCGTGTGACAATATTGACAATGTACTCCCGATAAATTTTGTTTAGGGAAAATGACATTTTTTCCTTCTAAGTTATATACTTTTAGCACTTTTTTTCCTGAATTATTTAAGTGGTTCTTTTCCCTCTAAAATGTTAAATAGACATATTTACCCTTAAAATAAATATTTCATTTATTTTTCTTCTCTAACAAATTATTACTATAATTTGGTTCAAATCAAACAGATACTATAACAACCAAACCAAAATATTCCAATTACAATTTAGAATCAAAACGCGATATTTAGAGTTTATTAAAATCACAAATCGGAATGGCCGGTTCATGTTCTGAACTGAAAAAATAAAATACATTTATTGTTGAATTTAGACTATTTTAAAATAAAAAATAAAATAAAATTTTAAAATAAAGACGGTTCAAAATCGGGAACCGGATCCAGAATCGCCGGTTCACGGTTCATGATCCAGTTTTTTTGGTTCATAAATTTAATAAATTGAAATTCAAATATTGGGTTCTAGATCTGAATCATAACCGAAAAGTTTTAATTCGATTGCTATAGATGTCCGATTTAGTTCGAACCGAACCGTGGTCATTGCTACATATACACAATAATTTGTTGGAGAAGTAAAATAAATAAAATGTTTACTTTAAGGGTAGAAATGTCAATTTAATATATCAGGGGAAAAAATCACCACTTTTAAAATAATTGAGGGGACTAATGTGCTTACATAAATAATTGAGGGGAAAAAATGCTATAAGTATATAACTTAAGAGAAAAAGTGTCATTTTCCCTTTTGTTTAAGTTTTCCATAAATTGTGCTTGTGTAATAATCCCAAATTACATTGGGGAAAAACAAATCACTCTGGAAAAATTTTGTGCCACAATATTAACAAAAATAGTGTTAGACAATAAGTACATATAAGAATTATGTTTTAATCTATTTTTTGGAGTACATTATATTAAATTGAAATTGATTTGATTCTATGAGGGTATAACTTTCTATTAATTTAATTTTATGGAAAATATAAATTCATAATACACCATCAATCAATAATTCTAACTTATTAATTGATTGATTATAGGGATTAAGACTTTAGTGAGAATTTATTTAAGAGCTTATAACTTATTTTAAACTATTAATAAATTATAAATTTTGTTTGATTTTGTTTAATAATGTTCAAAAAATAAACTAGCAGGTTAAAATAATAGCTTCTAAACTTTTTTTTTCCTTTCCATCTTTAAAATCCATTTGGCCTGTGCTCTTCTCATATATATTTTTTTTATTCATTGAGACTCCTTCCCACCAAGCATATTCCTTCATCTTTATTCTAACAACTAGGACCACTTGGATTGTTACAAAATGAGTCCTATGAGATTATTTATACTTATTCCACCCCTCAATGGACGGTGAAAATCTACTTGATTGGAGTATGATTATGATTATCTCTCTAAAATGCTCTCTCAAATTTTATACAATCATATAAGTTCTATAATGTTTTATAAGATTTTATTAATCTCTACTCTTCTAATATGTATGTGCTTTAATCATGTAAGTTCTTCTCTTCGAAGTTGTATTGAGAGGTCGTTTGGAGTAATAAAGAAGAGATGTAAGATACTTGTTAAAATGTCATATTTTAATATGGAGACCCAAATTAATGTTATTATGGCTACATTTGCACTACATAATTATATTCAAAAGAATTCACAAGATGAAATGATGTTTAATGCGTTTGAGCAACATTCATAGTACAAACATATTTAAATTTAAAATTATTTAAATTTTATGAAAATATCATTTTTAGTCTTTTTATATTTATCAATTTATCAAAAAGTTAATTTTACTAAACACTTTTAATCAACAGCTAGCTTTTGGATAGATTTGCCAAACATAATCTAAGTAAACTAAATTAAATTAAGAAACAAATGAATTGTAGAAGTACGAAATAAGTGGAAATCAATAGGTAATAAAATACTTTCCTAAATTTACTAAGTTATTTCAATAAGACGATCTAACTCTTCATGCTCTGCGGTGTTGTTCTTCCCTTTTATTCTTGCCCAATTAAAAGTTTTGGTTTACGAAAAAGCATGAAGTTGTTACTCAAGACAAATTATATGGATAATGGTTGACATTGTAGTGTAGTCCATTATTAAATGTTTATTTTCAGTATATTGAAGGCTCATTATTTTGAATGTATAACTAAAAATGAATATTTAAAAATTAAATTGTCTGTATACTAAAAATGAATTTAATGTCAATGACACACAGTATAATGATTGGCTATAAAGGGGTGTGTACTGAGTAAATCTCATTCCCAAGACCCTAGCCCATAAACAGGGACAGATCCAGAAAATCTTCGCCAATGAGGGCGAAAGATTAAAATTCAATAAGATATTTGTAAAAAATATATATACTTAGAGTTGAACCATCAATTTGTTGACTAAGGATAAAAAATTAAAATATATCAAAATGATATAAAAAATTCAAAATAAAATATAAAATATAATTAATTAGATTAAATAGTTCGAATAGAAAACACATTACCTGGTTCCCAACATTGCATTATCTTATTGAACAACTAAATTCTTTTTTTTATTATTATTATTATAAAAAAACTAGGGTTAAGCAAACAGTGGATCAATTGATTTACATAATTGATCGAAAAATTTATAAAAATATTGACCAACAAATTCGACCTTCATAACTGATCGTAGTAAATAATATAATCGACTAAAAAATTAAACATTGATTTCGATCGATTATGCTTGTTACCGAAAAATTGAACAAGAGTACATTATTCCAAAATCAATAGCTAAAAATTCCAAACACGCAAAATTACAAAATTTAAAATCCAAGATCAATCGTGAATTACACTTTAAAAACTCTAAACAAGAATAACTAATTAAATAAAAATTCAAAAGGAAATAAATTTAATAACCTACCTTCTTAAGTTGTTCAGAACATTAGAAATCGCAAGATGGGTAAAGCATCGAAGCCGCCACAAGTATTTAGGGCCGATGAATGACTGTCGGAGTTGCTTGATTGGTGAGATTTGCCGTTTGTGAGGTGAGGGATTGTGAAATTGTTGAGTAGAATATTGAATATATTGTTTGATTATAATAAAAGAGAGATTGAAATGACAGAATCGACGATCTATTTTTATTTACATGGTTACAGTTATCTCGAACTGCGTTCTGAAAAAAGCAGCCTACTTGTGGGGCACTATGTAGGGCCGGTGCGTGGCGAATGGAACGGACTTGTGGGGCACTGTGTACTTACATTTTCGCCTCAGCTCCTGTGTACTTACATTTTTGCCTCAACTCCCTAAATAGGGGTTACTTTACAAATAGGGGTAATCACACACACACACACACACACACACACACACACACACACACACACACACACACACACACACACATATATATATATATATATATATATATATATTTAAGATCATATGAGAACACCTGCTTACGTGATAACGTGAGAACAAATTGTGTACATCCATCTAATATTTTTTAATGGTCTAGATTATATTAAGTGTGTGCAAATGCGCATTAAATGTGTGCAAACGCGATTAAGTGTGTTTGCACACATTTAATGCAAGTTCGCACACTTAATCTAATCTATACCATTAAAAAATATTAGATGGATGCACATGATGTGTTCTCATGTTCTCACCTAAGCACATGTTCTCACTGGAACCCTACCCAATCACTTTTAATAAAATTTACTCATTTCAATGAAAAAGCTATATATTTTTTACACAATCAATTAACAAGCTATACTACAAAAATAAAAGACAAAACTATTAATAAATCACTTTGAAAAGTTAATTACATGATTTTCATAGAACACAACACGTATCTTGTAAATTTACTTGATTCTTTAATAAAAACCTAAAAGTAAAATAAAATAAAATAAAAATGAAGATTTACCTGCATGTCACACTGTCAATAAAATTCCTCAAAATTTACAAAAACTTATCAAAAAAATTTGGACAAAATTACATATAGATCTAGGGATGACAATGTGCCTCGTCTCGTCAGGGATTGGGGACGAGGAATTTGTGAAATTGCCCGATGGGGACGGGGATACCCCTAACCTCCCCGCCCCGCCCCCGAATGGAAGAGACCACGGAACACATTTTCAGATCTTGTCCAAAAGCATTGGAACTTGGAAGTCTGGATTGGGCTCCAAGGAACGACAGGGAGCTGGGACACCCAACTGCCCAGTTTCAAGGCTTGGATTGAAAGCAATATCAAACCTAGCAGAATAAATAATGATGGTATTGATCGACCTACCATGTTTGCTGCCAGTTTATTGTGGATATGGAGGTGGCGCAACAATGGTGTATTCAAGGGAGAAGAAACTGATCCTAGTAGAAAGATTGTTACACTACTGGAAGCGGCAAAGGAAATCAATTCTGCATCTGACCTTAAGCAAAGGGATAGCTCAAACATCCATATGCGCAACTCTGTCAACCCCCATTGGAATCACTCTAATAACCATGAGTGGACGCTAAATGTAGATGCGAGTGTAAAAATTTCATTTCAAAAGGCAGGTTATGGCGGCATCCTCAGGAATGCCCTTGGCGAGTGGATGGGAGGTTTTATTGGCAAATCCAACCATAGCGATGCAACTCTGGTGGAAGCCGAAGCCATTTCCAGAGGTTTTAAATGGGCCTGGGAGTATGGAATTAGAGACATCGAAGTTCAGTCTGATGCTAAGCAGGTGACGAACTGGATATCAAATGGCACTGAGTTAAGAGGACCAATGAGCGGCTATGTTGAAGATATAAACATGTGGATGAACAAAAACTGGAAAGCCTCCATCCGGAATATCTATCGCGAGCAGAATGTTTGTGCCGATGCCTTTGCCAATATGGGTGCGAATCTAAATGTGCACTGGCGCAAACTTGAGGGGTGCCCTCCCATCTTGGAAGATCTTGTTGATCATGACCGTCTCCGGACGAGCTGGCCTAGAAGAAGTAGCAGTTAGCTCTCTCTTTTTTCGGGGTACCCCTCCTTGTCCATCAAAAAAATATATAAAAAGAATTATATTATTAGTTTTAGTCATTTTACAGTAGCCCACTACCCACTATTCTGTTGCCTCATTTATCATAGTTTTAGCAGCCCGGCTTATTAAAGAAATTTTGTTGCCTCATTTAGAACATTCAATTCAAATTTATTGCCATGATTCTGTGCTCTTACTAATTAGAGGAATTTTTTTTTAAAGAAATAAAAACGAACAAAATAAAATAGAAAATATGCTTTGTATACATATTTTTTCAATTACAAGGCAGAAAATTGTAAAATAATTTTAAAAATGAAACAATTAGAGATTTTCTTTTTGTTTTTAAAAATAAATATTAAATTAATAAATGAAAAATAGAGAATATTTTTATTTATCAACTAGCAAAGAATATAATTAGAAATAGGGAATGGGGATTCCCCGTATACGCCAAATTTTTCACGGGAACAGGGACGTGGAATTTTTTCTATTCCCGGCCTAGGACGGGGTCGGGATCGGGGACGGAGAGTATACTCCTCGCCCCCGCCCGTTGTCATCCCTATATAGATCCAACAAATTCTTGATATGGTTCACGATCTGGACCGACTGAACGTCGTGCTTATCAGTGAGGTGATGAAGATGAAGAAGATTGAGATGACAAAGGTCAATGGATATTAATGGCACAATTATAATCAAACAATATAATCAATGTTATACTCAACAATTTCACAATCTCTTGTCCTCACAATCCGCAAATCTCATCAATCAAACAACTTCAACAGTCATTCATCGACCCTAGGTATTGTTGTGTCTTCGATGCTTTACCTATCCTGCAATTTCTAAAGTTATTAAGGGTTAATGGTTGGATTCAAAACTCTATAGCATGTAAATTGTGAACATTTAGTATATAAATTGTATATTTTTGAATTCGGATTTACATTGCAAAATAAACCCGAGTCTACAAAATAATTTGCCCCCAATTAATACCACCCTCCAATTTCGAAAATTGGGTCGCTATAAGTAATTTCGGAAATTGGGTCGCTATAAGTCTGTAACCGTGTCAGATTGCATGCATTAGGCCATAAGTTACACAAACTGTATATAAAATTTAGGTACAAGTGTCAAATAGACTCATCTACTACTGTGAAGTGCTCAATTCTCATCACGAACTAAATTAAATATCAAATTTATTTTCGCAGTAGTAGATGATTCTATTTGACACTTGTGCCTAAAATTTATTTATTTATTTACTTTATGTTGAATGCAGTGTGGGCCTTTTTATATTTGTCATATGTAATTATTTCAAGGTAAGAGCAGTAATATGGATGATAACGCCATTAAAATTGATGGAGACTGAGAGAGTGTGTTCACACCTAGTCGTGTTTGTGTTTTTTATTACCTCGTAGATCGAACACCAAACAAAACAGATCGAGAGAAAAAACATGTCGCAGCAGCCAGACTACGAATCCTACCCTCCGCTGTTTCGTCCATCGTCGTCTGTCAACCCAAACCACGGCGGCGTTGAGAAAGGCTCGCCGGAAATGGAGGCGGCGGCGGAAGGAGACGGCGGTGTTCCCGTCATAGATTTTGAGTGCATAAAGAAGGACGGGGAAAAGGTAACAGAGGCTTGCAGAGATTGGGGTTTTTTCAGGTTGGTGAACCACGGAATCCCAGAAAGTTTGATGAGTCAAATGTTGGAACGTGCGAGGGAGTTGTTTTCCATGGCCTACGAAGCCAAGCAGGCAGCGTTCAACAGCGGCGCCGCATCCTACTTCTGGGGTACGGCGGCGGTGACGCCGTCAGGGGCGGCGCTGGCCGCCAGCAACTTCCATTGGATGGAAGGGCTGAACATTCCGCTAAGCAAAGTGCCGCAGCTTCATTACGAAGATCCGATGCTCGAATCTTTCAGGTCAGCTTTTCGATCACTACTTTATGCAATCATTGGTTATGTTGTGATACTCAATTTAATTATTGACTATAATAATAATTTTGTTTGATTTCGTTTTAAATGTCATTTTTTTTTTTTGTATTTAATTGGTTTATGGATTTTGATGATTTTTACCTAATTAAATCATTTGTAAATGTAGTTCGATATCTTTTTTTTTTTTTAATATTAATATACATCTTAGTATTCGAGTGATTGATTTTATTTAAATTAGTCATAGACTATTATTGTTAATAACCAATTTAATCATTGACTAATTATGTTTTTTTTTTTGAATTTAGTCCTTGATTCTAATCATTGAGGACTCAATTAAGTAAAACTATAAAAGTCGATGACCCAATTAACCACAAAGACTAAATCAGAGAAAAGTCATTATAGTCAAGGCCTCAGTTGGATATTAACTACCCGTTATATTGTATATGATTCGATTCTTACAAATAAAAGGTATAGAATTGATATGGTTGTGAACACTCATACACAAACACTTTAGAGAATCTGTGGACTATTAAAACATATATCAAAATATTTATATCATTTAGTAAGACTATATAGGACTGAAATTATGAGATCTTCATAATTAAGACCACTAAGGTGTGGCCTAAATCACTAAATGGCCCATGTAAAGTATTTTATTATTATTATTATTATTATTATTATTATTATTATTATTATTATTATTATTATTATTATTATTATTATTATTATTATTATTATTATTATTATTATTAGGGAAAATAGCACTTTTTTCCCCCTGAGTTATATACCTATAGCACTTTCCCCCCTCAATTATTGAAGTGGCTATTTTTCCCCCTGAAATGTTAAATGGACATATTTACCCTTAAAATAAATATTTAAAATAAATATTTTATTTATTTTTCTTCTCCAACAAATTATGACCATAATTTGATTCAAACCAAATAAACACTATAGCAACCAAACCGAAATATTCCAATTACAATTTAGAATCGAAACCCGATATTTAAAGTTTATTAAAATCGCAAACCGGAACGAACGGTTCATGTTCCGAACTGAAAAAATAAAATACATTTATTGTTGAATTTAGACTATTTTAAAATTAAAAAAAAAAAAACAAAATTTTAAAATAAAGACGGTTCAAAATCGCGAACCGGATCTGGAACCCCTGGTTCACGGTTCAGCCGTTCAGGATCCAATTTGTTTGATTCATAATTTTAATAAATTGAAATCCAAATGTTAGGTTATAGATCTGAATCATAACCGAAAATTTTTAATTCGATTGCTTTAGTGTCCGGTTCTGTTCGAACCAAACCGTGGTCATCCCTACGTATACGCAATAATTTGTTGGAGAAGTAAAATAAATAAAATATTTACTTTAAGGATAGAAATGTCAATTTAATATATCAGGGGGAAAAACCACCACTTTTAGAATAATTGAGGGGACTAATGTGCTTACCTAAATAATTGAGGGGGAAAAAGTGCTATAAGTATGTAACTCAGGGGGAAAAAGTGCCATTTTCCCTTATTATTATTATTATTATTATTATTATTATTATTATTATTATTATTATTATGTCCTCACCCCATCTTTGTATTGGTATTTTGTATTTGAGAATCTTACATGCCTCCTCATTTTCTATTCCATTTTTACTCCATATTTAGGTGGTTTGGTCTCATATATTAATGTAGAAAAAAGTGTAGGTCATTGTTTTTATTTAAAGCTATTACTTCAACCAATAAAATCATGACATAAGTTTTACAGTGTTAATTAAGAGTATATGTATCATATTTGTTTGTATTTTTGGGTGTAGATCCTTGGTAGAAGAATATGGAAAGCATCAAGCTAGGGTGGGGAAGGCAATATACAAAGCATTGTGGAGGAAAGTAGAATTGGGAACATTAAAGTTGTCAAAATACGATGAACCATCAACAAGGTATTTCTCAGAAGATACTGGAGTATTACGTGTACACCGATACCCTCGGTGTTTGGAGGCTAATCGGGCATGGGGTGTAGACGTACACACTGATAGTTCACTCCTCACAATCTTGCACCAAGATCTTGTTGGAGGGCTTCAAGTCTACAAGGATAATCAATGGATCCAAGTCAAGCCTATCCCCAACACCCTCATTGTCAACATTGGAGATATGTTCCAGGTTTCATCTTTGTCTTTTTGTTTTTACTTTAAATAAAATGAAACTTTTTTTTGCCTAAAACTCTAAAAATGAGGGGAGAATAATAACGTGTGATCGATGTTCTCTTTTTACCTTAAAATTGTCAACAAGTAAAAGTATATTTTGTTTGAACTTATTGTATATTGATTACATGGTTGATGATTTGCAGGCGATTAGTGATGACAAGTATGTTAGTGTAAACCACAAGGTGAAAGTGAACGAAGAAAAGGAGAGAATATCTGTGGGATATTTTGTTTTCCCAGAAGATGATGTCGTGATAGAGAGCTCCAAGTACAAGCCCTTCACTTATGCCCAATTTCGGGCTCAAGTGCAACATGACATTAAGAGTGTTGGCTTTAAGATTGGTCTGCACAATTTCAAGCGTTAGTTGTCAACTCTTTTAATACCAATACTCATATCCATCTCTGAATAGAGTGAATTTTTCTCAAATGTCATATGAAATATTTTGCAATTCCTGTTTTCTATTATTCTCAAAAACTTATATTTGAGACTTAATTGGACATAAGTGAAGGGCTTGTACTTGGAGCTCTCAATCACGACATCATCTTCTGGGAAAACAAAATATCCCACAGATATTCTCTCCTTTTCTTCGTTCACTTTCACCTTGTGGTTTACACTAACATACTTGTCATCACTAATCGCCTGCAAATCATCAACCATGTAATCAATCTACCATAAGTTCAAACAAAATGCACTTTTACTTGTTGACAATTTTAAGGTAAAAAGAGAACATCGATCACACGTTATTATTCTCCCCTCATTTTTAGAGTTTTGGCAAAAAAAAAAATTCATTTTATTTAAAGTAAAAACAAAAAGACAAAGATGAAACCTGGAACATATCTCCAATGTTGACAATGAGGGTGTTGGGGATAGGCTTGACTTGGATCCATTGATTATCCTTGTAGTCTTGAAGCCCTCCAACAAGATCTTGGTGCAAGATTGTGAGGAGTGAACTATCAGTGTGTACGTCTACACCCCATGCCCGATTAGCCTCCAAACACCGAGGGTATCGGTGTACACGTAATACTCCAGTATCTTCTGAGAAATACCTTATTGATAGTTCATCGTATTTTGACAACTTTAATGTTCCCAATTCTACTTTCCTCCACAATGCTTCGTATATTGCCTTCCCCACCCTAGCTTGATGCTTTCCGTATTCTTCTACCAAGGATCTACACCCAAAAATACAAACAAATATGATACATGATACATATATATACTCTTAATTAACACACTAAAACTTTCGTTACATGTCATGATTTTATTGGTAGAAGTAACAACTTTGAATAAAAACAGTGACCCACACTTTTTTCTACATTAATAAGACCAAACCACCTAAGTATGTAGTAAAAATGGAATAGAAAATAAGGGTGCATGTAAGATTCTCAGATACAAAATACCAATACAAAGATGGCGTGAGGACATAATAATAATAATAATAATAATAATAATAATAATAATAATAATAATACCAGCATATATCAATTCTCTAAAGTGTTTGTGTATGAGTGTTCACAACCATATTCTCTAAAGTGTTTGTGTATGAGTGTTCACAACCATATCAATTATATACCTTTTATTTGTAAGAATCGAACCATATACAACATAACGAGTTAATATCTAATTTAGGCCTTGACTATAATGACTTTCTCTGATTTAGTCTTTGTGGGTAATTGGGTCATCGACTCTGATAGCTTTACTTAATTGAGTCCTCAACGATTAAAATAAAAGACTAAATTGAGAAAAATCATATATTAGTCGATGATTAAATTGAATATTAACTACTATAGTCGATGACTAATTTGGATAAAATCACTATACTCGAATGCTAAATTGTGTATTAATATATATAAAAAAAAAATTACCAAACTACATTTATAAATGATTTAATTAGGTAAAATCATCCAAATCTATAAACCATTTAAACACAAAAAAATTAACATTTAAAACGAAATCATACAAAATTATTAACATCACAACATAACCAATGATGTGATAAAGTGATCAAAAAGCTGACCTGAAAGATTCGAGCATCCGATCTTCGTAATGAAGCTGCGGCACTTTGCTTAGCAGAATGTTCAGCCCTTCCATCCAATGGAAGTTGCTGGCGGCCAGCGCCGCCCCTGACGGCGTCACCGCCGCCGTACCCCAGAAGCGCCGCCGCTGTTGAACGCTGCCTGCTTAGCTTCGAATGCTATGGAAAACAACTCCCCCGCACGTTCCAACATTTGACTCATCAAACTTTCTGGGATTAATCCGTGGTTCACCAACCTGAAAAAACCCCATTCTCTGCAAGCCTCTGTTACCTTTTCCCCGTCCTTCTTCATGCACTCAAAATCTATGACGGGAACACCGCCGTCTCCTTCCGCCGCCGCCTCCATTTCCGGCGAGCCTTTCTCAACGCCGCCGTGGTTTGGGTTGACAGACGACGACGGACGAAACAGCGGAGGGTAGGATTCGTAGTCTGGCTGCTGCGACATGTTTTTTCTCTCGATCTGTTTTGTTTGGTGTTCGATCTACGAGGTAATCAAAAACACAAACACGACCAGGTGTGAACACACTCTCTCAGTCTCCATCAATTTTAATGGCGCTACCATCCATATTACTGCTCTTACCGTGAAATAATTACATATGACAAATATAAAAAAGGCCCACACTGCATTCAACATAAAGTAAATAAATAAATAAATTTTATATACAGTTTGTGTAACTTATGGCCTGATGCATGCAATCTGACATGGTTACAGACTTATAGCGACCCAATTTCCGAAATTACTTATAGCGACCCAATTTCGAAAATTAGAGGGTGGTATTAAGGATCGTTATGCTGTGTATCCGTATGCACATGTATGGTGCATACAGATGCAAAAATGATGTTGTTTTATTAAAAATGCGCATCCTATTTAAAAAAAAAAACTTCAGTTTCGATTCCCCTCAACAGCATTATTTTGTTCATAGATTCTGGAATTTTAGTTCATTGATTATGGATATTTAGACGTGAATCGAAACTGATTTTTTTTTCATTCATGCTGGATAATTAGTTCATTCATTATGGATTTTTAGTTCATTCATTATGGATTTTTAGTTCATTCATTCTGGAATTTTAGTTCATAGATTCTGGAATTTTAGTTCATCGATTATGAAATTTTAGTTCAAATTATGCACAATATAATGTTGTTGTTGGGATTCGAAACTGATTTTTTTTTTTAAATAAGACGCGTGTTTTTAATAAAACGATGTCGTTTTTGCATCCGTATGCACCATGCATGGTGCATACGGATGCACAACATAATTTGCCGTCGTATTAATTAGGGGCAAATTATTTCGTAGACTCGGATTTATTTTGCAATGTAAATTCGAATCCAAAAATATACAATTTATATATTGAATGTTCACAATTTACATACTATAGAGTTTTGAATCCAACCATTAACCCTTAATAACTTTAGAAATCCCAAGATAGGCAAAGCATCGAAGACACAACAATACATAGGGCCGATGAATGACTGTTGAATTTGTTTGATTTATGAGATTTGCCGATTGTGAGGACGAGAGATTGTGAAATTGTTGAGTATAACATTGATTATATTGTTTGATTATAATTGCACCATTAATATCCATTGACCTTTGTCACCTCAATCTTCTTCGTCTTCATCACCACGCTGATAAGCACGACGTCCAGTCGATCCAGATCGTGAACCATATCAAGAATTTGTTAGATATATATAGGGATGACAACAGGCGGGGGGCGAGGAGTATACTCCCCGTCCTAGGCGGAGAATAGAAAAAATTCCATGTCCCTGTTCCCTTGGAGAATTTGGCGTAGACGGGATCGGAATTCCCATCCCCGATTTCTAATTGTATTCTTTGCTAGTTGATAAATAAAAATATTTCCTATTTTTCATTCATTAATTTAATATTTATTTTTTTAAAAAAAATCTCTAATTGTTTCATTTGTAAAATTATTTTACAATTTTCTGCCTTGTATATTGAAAAAATATGTAAACAAAGCATATTTTCTATTTTATTTTGTTAATTTTTTTAAAGTAAAAATTTTCTCTAATTAGTAAGAGCACAGAATCATGGCAATAAATTTGAATACAAAATTTCTTTAATAAGCTTGGCTGCTAAAAATATGATAAATGAGGCAACAGAATAGTGGGTAGTGGGCTACTGTAAAATGACTAAAACTAATAATATAATTCCTTATATATATATATATATATATATATATATATATATATATATATATATATATATATATTAGTATTTTGTACGCGTGATGCGCGAAAATTTATACCCAATATTAAAATATTGTTAAGTAACAAAATTTAAAAAATTAGTTAAAATTACGTATTCGTTAAAGTGATGATACTTTTGAATTATCATATATTTGAATAATATAGTGATCAAAACAATATATATATATATATATATATATATATATATATATATATATTTATATAATATGTATATATTTATATAATATGTATGTATATTATGGGTGTTAGCTTAGTATTATTTGTAAATTATTATTATATAAATATATATATATATATATATATATATATATATATATATATATATGATACAAAAATATAATTTAACATTCATATAAATATTTAATTAAAATATAATTTATAATTAAATTAATTGTTATATGATAATTTTAATAAAATGATAATTAAAAATAGGAAAAAGATATGATACATGTAGGTGTATGGTAAGATTGATGGATATATTAAATACTAACGTTGTTATAACAGTATAAAGGCGATTTTGTCCAATACAAATGAAATGTACAACAATTAAAGCAAAATGTATATATTTATTAGCATATAAAAAAAAGGGACAAAAATCAAGGACATAACGTGTATTGGCACATATTGTGTTTTTAGATATATATATATATATATATATATATATATCACACATAAGCCTTTTATTTTTAGTATGAATATTTTTTTAATTTTGTAATTTGTTTCATGATAACATTTTGGTTGATGTCAAGTGGGATGGTATTTGGCTACACGTACCATCATTAAACAAATAAAGTAGTCAAATAGTGGATTCACATGTATGTCAAATTGTCAATTCACATTTCACTCTTCCTTTTACTTTTTTTTTTTTTTAGTTTGATGTTCAATTCAATTCAATTGTTTTGAACCTATTACCATAATTATCGTATTTTTGGTCCTACCTGAGTAGAAGCACATTCATTCATATTTATTTTGAGAATTATGATGGGCTGGCTAGAATCATGCAAGTTAATTATCTTCCAAATAACAAAACAACAAAAGGTACGGGTTTCAAAAAAAAAAAAAAAACAACAAAAGTATTGGTTCGTGGTCCTCTTGCAATTGTTATCCCGTGGAACCGTAAGGTGGATACCGTTCTATGTTCATAATTACTGATATCTATATTTATAATTATAAATCTCTATGTTCATAATTTTTGAACTTCATATTTATAATTATTGAACTCTATATGCACAATTACAGAACTCTATGTTTAGAAATATATTGTCAATATATATATATATATATATATATATATATATATATATATATATATATATATATATATTATGCATATATAATTTATAATTAAATTAATTGTTATATGATAATTTTAATAAAATGATAATTAAAAATAGGAAAAAGATATGATACATGTATGTGTATGGTAAGATTGGTGGATATATTAAATACTAGCGGTGTTATAACGGTGTAAGGGTGATTTTGTCCAATACAAATGAAATGTACAACAATTAAAGCAAAATGTATATATTTATTAGCATATAAAAAAGTGACAAAAATCAAGGACATAACTTGTATTGACACATATTATGTTTATTATATATATTATTCGGGAACGGGGCGGGGAGGTTAGGGGTATCCCCGTCTCTATTGGGGAATTTCACAAATTCCTCGTCCCCCATCTTTGACGGGACGGGGCATATTGTCATCCCTAGATCTATATGTAATTTTGCCATAATTTTCTTGATAGGTTTTTTCAAATTTTGAGGAATTTTATTGACAGTGTGACCTGCAGGTAAATCTTCATTTTTATTTTATTTTATTTTATTTTTAGGTTTTTATTAAAGAATCAAGTAAATTTACAAGCTACGTATTGTGTTCTATGAAAATCATGTAATTAACTTTTCAAAGTG